TTTTAATTGGGGCATTTTTCACGGATAGAGATAAAGTGTTATGAAAGTCTTAAAAAAAAACACATCATTAGAATATACATAACAAGATTGATAAAAAAGCACCTAAATGACCTTGGCAAAGGTATTGTATACAAAAGTGACAGTAACAGTGACTGTATCTACATCATGATTAGAAGTTGAGATATTATTCATCATGGAGTAACAATGCCGTAGAAAAACAAGCAAAATTATTCACAGCAAAAATTAACTTTATACTAACTCTACTTTGATAACAGAGGCAATCAAATGCCTTAAAATTTTAATAACAATGGCAATTGTAAAAAGAGTCATGGATTACACGTAATACAAGATGGAAACTATTATTGGTTGCTTTCAAAAGCCTAAATCACATGCATTTAATATAACGATTTCTTTAATACCTAACGAGAGGAACCTTGTTGAGTCTTTTGTCAGATAAAATAATTTAGGAATTGCAGCTATTTGTTCAGTACATCTATTTTACTAATAGAGCCTTATGAATGTCTCTGAATGCCTCTTCTAGACAGTCCTTGAAACCATTCCCATCTGCAGACCCTTTGTAGTAACTAACAACAGCACCAAGTCTGTTGTCATAAATACTGTAACTGTAAGAAAATATTTTTTTAAAGGATTATAAAAAAGTGTTGGATATTTTGGGGAAATTTAATACTGTAGACACTTACCCAATGCCAAGTCCATCCTTGACTACAGGTCCAAAACCACCGAGAGCCACAACATCAGATGACAGAGTTGAAGTTGATACAATATTGTGATTAAGAGTAGCATATGCAGGATCTTTAAATATTTCTGGCAGTGCACTTCCCTTTCGTTCGGCCACTTTTCGAAGACCAAAGAGATGGCGATCAAAGCCCTGTCCTAAAAAAGAGCATAAAACAACAACTGACACTAAAACAAGAACAAATTTTAAATAACGGTAGATTAATTTTTCATACAAATGAGATCCTCTACATACCCATAGCAGCTTCCCGTGAGAGATTACTATGAACTTTTGAACAATTTGACAACATACTTCTCAGGATTTGGAAATCTGGTTGGTGAGAACCTCGAAGAGATTCACAAAATTCTTTTGTGGCCATAGTACAGGGTCTCATTGTTTCAGTTCGACCATGCTTAAAAGCAGCTGTACTGCATGATTCATAAGTCCCAACATATTTTCCAGATAATTTATTGTATGCCAGCTAAAATTAGAAGAGATAATCATAATTCTACAAATCACTTCTGAAGGAAACTCTCCCATGTACTCTGTTAAAGTAGATGGTTATTTTAAAGGAATGAAAAATATCACAAACCTGAAATCCAAGTTGCATTATGGAATCCGGGCTAACTTGTGCAGCTTTACAAAGTGTCTTCCCAAAACCATGAAATTCAAAGAAGGAAAAACCAAGCGAATTGGTAAAGGAATTATACTTTTCCTTGGCTTTTAACACATCATTTTTAGCCTTTTCATCTAGTTTGAACTCTGTTGAGAGGAGAAAAAAATCACTCTAAAATGACTGAAAATAGATTGTTGCCAAATTCCTAAACTGGAAATTTTGAAGTGGTGAACTGATTCCATTTAAGACAAAACATGACCCGGAATATAAAAACTTCATGGCATGGACCACAACATTAACATTAATATGGACATCTGAGCATGAAGGTTGAACCGAACCAGTTCTCCACTTGGTCCACTTGGTTAACATACTCACCAAGTTTTGAGATATGCTTCGCAACATCTTTGAAGGACTTTTCTGACTCAGGGTGGATCCATCTATGTGAAGTGGAATCTTTGTGTATATCCTGGAAGTATCTTAAAACTGCAACACCATCACCCCAAGAATGTTCAAAATTTACAGCTGCCTTGCCATCTTTGGACACAAGGAGAGATAGTGATTTGTCAAACCACCTGAAAAATTACACAAATACATTTTAGCTACCTGTAGCTCTCTGTTAATTAAAGACACAAGACAAAGAGTAAATTGGAGAAAAGACCCACCTGTTAACACCATCAGCATGCAGGAATGATCTTGTTATAACTTCAGGGTTGTCGCCAACAGTTTTATCATCAAGGCAAATGCAAAATATACTACTATCTATTAATTCCAAAACCTGTAAAATATCAACGTTAACTCATTCTATAGAAAAGATTTTTTTTTTTTCCAAATGTGTAATTTTTTAAGTATAACAAACCTCTTTATTTCCTAATCTTTCCAGGTGATCTCTTGCTTCAGCCCACACGTCTCGATTTTCTGTCGTGAGAACACCAATTGGGCATTGGTTTTCGGCACTTGGATCTTCCAGAATATGCTTTATGCAGCTAGAAATATACTCTGGCTCCATAATGTGGCCTAGAAAAGTACAAAAATCAAACACCATTCATAAGGTATTTTCATAAAATGTTTTGTTATAGATATTGCCCTAAAGATTTGTATAAATAAATTACCATTGCTATCTATTACATTGAAAGTAAAAAAATGACCATTTCTCATGACAAGGACATGCCGTGCTGATGGGTTTCTAAAAATGAGGTCCTTGCCCTTCTTTGGTATTCGTGTGGCATTAAAAAGACCTTCATACTGGGACATGTCCAATGGAAAAGCCTAAAATGTACAAAATAGTTACTTATTATTTAGTAAGTAATTACCAGAAGTATATAAAAAGTTTATGGCAGCAACAGAAAAACATACATTAAACATGTAGGCCCCATACCAGCTTACTGATGATGGTAACAATTTTGTGACAGTGCGAAATAAATTTGTATCACTTTTCGATGGGTTTAAATGAAACACTTCTGGTTCTAAAATGCCTTTTTGAAGTGATTTCAAGAACCTGATGGTTACATGCCATATTATATAAAAAATTAAGACAGGAAAAAATAGTTAGTTGTAAGAAGCAAATTACCTTAATGAGGAAATCAGGAGGTTGCTAGTTCGTACAAGCTGCGTATTAAACTCCTCTTTTGGGTCATCTACAAATACCAAAAGAGGATTGTAATTGATTGGTAAAGGTACTCGATCGCGGAGGTACATATCAAACCAAGGTTCAGAAATATAGCTTGTGTGCTTGTTTTTTGAATCATGATCTTTCAACTCCTTTTGGAGTTGTATGCCTTCTCCTGAAATGAAGCTGCAAACAAAAGAAATACCATTTTTCAATCAAAATAGTTATACATCAAAAATCGAATTGATATTTAAATAGGAACTAGGACCTAAGCAGAGGAATGATAAAAGATGAACTAAAAGTAAGAACTTAATTCATATCCAGAAAGGAGTAGGCTTGCTTAGTATGAGACATTCAAATGGACCAGTTTTGACAACTACCTTAGGAAGAAAAGAGTACTTCTCAATTTCTTGATACTCAAAGTAGTATCTGAAGAAATGCAACACCTGCTTACCCTCATTGAGCCAATTGTTCCCCAAGAGGGAGAAGGTAGGCAGATGGACCAGATTGGGGAGGAGAAGAAGTAAGGAGGGCCTTGAGACATTAGATGCAAGATGACATCCTTCCACATCCATCATATGTGGTGCACAGGCAATATAAATCAAGCAGATACGACATGTACAGAGGACAAAAGCGGAACCCATAATTGAGAACTCAGTTGCCCCTGCATATTTCAATCAATCAATCAAATACATAAAAGGCAGCTGATAGAGAATGTGACTTTTAAGTTGAAAATAAGAAATCTAGACAGTTAGATACAACTTTCAATTGAGTTTCATTCATTTGAGATCCATTGTGATACTTGAACAAGCAAAACTGGATGTGATTCAAAATGAATATGAACAGTGTGACATCTCACCTTTGAACTAATTTTTCAGTCTGTCTAAAGTTGGCATCATTCTGAATAGGCCTCTGTGCATTCAAGTATCTTTCAGAGGTCTTCTTTAGTTCCGGGATGGGTAAACGAGGAAGTGACTTCTGAAAATGCATCGTTGGAACCTTGCTACGTTGCCAGTAATCATAGTCGTCCAGACTGGTGGAACTGAAACGAACACAATGCATAAATAATACAAGTAATTGCTTCTAACACTAACAATAAATTATGAAAATATAGTATAACATACCTCTTCCACCTTGTGGTAGAATACTTTGGAAAATTATAATTGACCTGTAGAAAATCGTAATGAATGAATAAATAAATAAATGAATATAGCATATTTACTACACACTGCAGCAACATCATTATAAGTACCAAACTTACCGAGTTCTGCCGAAGTAAAATTCGCAACATGCTGAAAAAGAATATGTGCAGCTTTAAAAATAAAGGAATAGCACATCTTATGGCAAAACCACAGAAAATATCTCTCGTTTATCAAATATCAGTTGACATTGTTTACATGTCATTCTAACCCTCCAATTTCCTGTCAAACGTGTCAGCTGTTTGCAGAAGTTTTTAAAAGTTTACAATATACTTACATGTAAGTAATATGCCAACACGCTAATCGTTCAGATCAACCTCACAATTGGGTCGGATCGACCACTGTACTCTGCACTAGCAGCACTTCTCCGGTTTCAAAGGTGACTTGACTACTGTACAGAATAATTTGTGGCACTTGTGGACTTGTCACAGTGTTTTTCAGCAGGGGAAATACAGATGTTTCTGTGGCGAAGTGAAAGTAGAGACAGCTTGTACCATACGTCAAATTTATTATGTATTACAACGCAGTATTTGAAACAACGTAGCGATTTTTCGTGATAGAATTTCGGTGCGAATTGATTAAATCACGTGAATCCAAAATAAACATACCAACACATGAGAAAGTTTCCCCCTACCGACAACCGGGACTAGCAGCCGGGCGGGTGGCGGGTGTCTAGAGACTGGGGGGGGGGGGGGAGGGGGCAGGTAGTTTACGACTTGCAGGGACTCCAATGCCGCTAGTAATAAAGCCATTCCATTTCTGGGTGGGTCTGGAATTTTAACGATGATTATGTGCTTAAATAGTGTCAACCACCACTAATATCAGAGAGATATCCACCTCGAGCTGTTAATATTTCATTTATGTTGCAGGCTCTGGATACGCTAAAATTCGTGCCGGAAGTAGTCAAAGGAATTCTGTTAGTAATTGAAGTGCGTGATCAAATGATGTTTTGAAATCAATTTTTTACGAAATTTTCATTAAATATTTTTTAAATGCAAATTAACGCATCATAATTAAATTATTGCTTATTCTTTTTCTCGGTTGGACATGACTTTGGCTCTTCAGTAACTCACCGGAAGAGCATTTCTCTCACACGTTGCCTGCTCTGCTGCGTACTGTACCTCAAGTCCAAGTCCGCACCAAATCAAACGCCTTTGCAAGAGGCAAAGTACTGTTACTCACAGGTTCATTTGTAAGTGTTCTTCTAATTTATTTCGAAAGGGACAGTTACTTGTGTAAATTTTTAGTATTTTCGGGCGTTAAATGGTAATTCGGCTACTTGGCCAATGTAGGCAAGCGTTTTAGTTCAGGATCACGATCCACCTTCGGCGTATTTTTCCCAGTTAATTAAGTCTTCCAACTGCTTTAACCATTTCCCGGACATTGTTTTTAAATGGGGAACTGTTTTACACCCCTACTCTTACACATAGTGCTTTGTCTCCATTTATCAAACACCTGCAGGTGTTCGGATAATGGCTGTAATGTCATTGTGACCCGATCTACGATCTGTTTTATGAGTGGGCAATGACCTCAATCGCGCAAAGCTTAAAATTTCATAGTCATCGAAAAAAAATTGCAGTCACATTTGTCGGCCCTTGACTCGTACAACTTTTTTTTTTTAATAGCTTCACGTTAAACGTTAATTTCGCTGCCGTTAAGGTGACTCATGTAGCTAGTAGCTACTCAGCTGTTGTGTAATGCATTGTCAGATTTTGTTTTGTTTTTGATCGAAATTTTTGGTGACGACGTTTACTGTCTATCTTGTATTATTTTAATTGCTCTGCATTTTGAAGTTACTGAGATTTATGGAATGCTGAAAACTTTCTAATTCTTTTAATTATTGACACTTGAAGTTGGGTTAGGGTTTGGATACCAATTACTTTTTGACAGTTAAATTTTATTTTCCTTTCAAATTCAATATTTACTTTGTTGTTGCAGCCGACTGTTGTATGAGTCAAAAAATTGAGAAGCCCGTGTTGTCAGGTCAACGGATCAAGACAAGAAAAAGAGGTTAGTGCTTGATCTTTATTTTAATCCTTTCAACTGTTGAATTTTGCTGTGTATTTGCTTCCTTGTCACTGTTTTCTTACATTACTTTTCCTTTTAAAGATGAAAAGGAAAAGTATGACCCTCAAGGGTTCAGAGATTCAGTCCTCCTGGGTTTGGACAAAGCTGGTACGGATCTAGAAGCCGTATCAAAGTATCTTGATACTGCTGGCTCTAAACTTGACTACCGGCGATATGGGGAAGCTCTCTTTGACATTCTCATCGCCGGTGGCTTGTTGGGTGAGTAGTTTGTCAGTTAAAGATCTATTATATCTTTCACTGATAGTGACATTTTTATCATGCAACAATGTGTTGAATTCTGTGTCACAGTGCCAGGGGGCTCCATCGCCATGGAGGGTGACAAACCATGCAAGACAGAATGCTGCTTGTTCGGCGTCTCAGAGGATATGGAGTCAATGCACAATTATGAGCAGGTTTTCATTAAGTTGATGCGCAGATACAAGTACCTCGAGAAAATGTTTGAGGAGGAAATGAAGAAGGTCCTAGTGTTCATCAAGGGCTTCAGTGAATCAGACAGAAGAAAATTGGCACGAATGACTGCTCTTTGGATTTCTAATGGGTCTGTTCCCCCATCAGTGCTTCTTGTTCTGATTAATGTGAGTTTGTCAATTCTAATCCTTGTCTAATGCTCATTTTAAGATGATTTTAACTCTTTCACAACCTTGTTCTGCAGGAACACCTCATAAAAGACAATTTGGCACTCGACTTCCTCTTGGAGGTCTTTGTAACTTGGAAAAGTGAGAAGGGTCTTTCGAGTTTGGTTACTGCATTGAAGAGAGGAGGACTGGAAGGAAAGTAAGTAAATTAGTCAGAGTATGACGCCAATGACTTATGTAACATGTATTGATTGTTGTTGGTTGGTCATTTCAGGTTGATGGAGTTTTTCCCTCCCAACAAAAGAACTGAGGAACATTTTAAAGCAGTCTTTGATGAGAAAGGTTTGGCAGATATTGTAAAACTTCATAAAGCTCAGGTACGGTTTCCACAAGACTCTTGATAGGTTGCAGACTTCAATTTACTAACACTTATTCTTGTTCTTAGGCTAATTTGGGAGCCAAAAGAGATCTGCAGTTGCAACTTGAAGAACAATTGCAGGAGGGACGCCAAATCAAGGACATGGTCATGGACATCAAAGATTTGGCTACCAGGAACAATATCCCTGAGCATGAAATTATTGGAATTGTGAGTTGATCGCTATATTTGGTAAAGCCCCAAGAAACATCCTAACTTGTCTGAATGGCTTTTACTCAAACTCATTTTCAGGTGTGGTCAACTATTATGTCACAAGCTGAATGGAACAAGAAGGAAGAACTGGTTGCTGAGCAAGCTTTGAAACATCTGAAACAGTATACCCTACTCCTCGCATCCTTCACAACTGCAGCCCGCTCAGAGTTGGCTTTAATGCTCAAAGTGCAAGAATTTTGTTATGGAAACATGATTTTCATGAAGGTTTTCCAGAAGATAATTTTACTCTTCTACAAGAGTAAGTTCTCTATTTGTCCCTGAATAAGTCATTACATTTTTGGGGGTGGTTTAACTTCATGCAATTTATTTTATTTCAGCTGATGTGCTCTCAGAAGAGGTCATTATCAAGTGGTATAAAGAGGATCACTCTTCAAAGGGAAAGATGCTCTTCCTTGAGCAAATGAAAAAGTTTGTGGATTGGCTGCAGAGTGCAGAGGAAGAATCTGATGAAGAGGAAGAGGAGGACTGATCTATTCACTTGCATATTTAGGTGGCTGCCCGATCCTTTGTAGCCAGGAAAACAAACTACTGTATTTACAAAGAAAATATATTTTACATAGACTAAATCAGGATCATTACCAATTTTTGCACCCCAAATTTGCTGCTCTTCGTGTTGTCATCACTGATCACTAGGTGCCTTAAACTGTCTCCCTTTCAAGGGCTTAATGAAGCTGTGCCAGGTACCAGGTAGATTAGGTGGCGGTATTTATTTTGAGATGACAATACTGAGGTACAGAATTTACCAGTATTTAATACAATTAGCAATGGGATCCTCACTGTTAAGTCTGACAAGTACGAGAAGAGTTTTGAGAGGATTAGGAGATGGAACAATCAGCTAAGTTCCTTCACTCGTACTCATCAGACTTCTTAGTATGATGGCTACTGCTAGGACTGATGGCAATGTAGTTAGCAGAAGATTTGAGGCTAGCATGAGCAACTTACAAATTTGATTGTGATTACAACTGGTGATGTGCCTAGAAGGCTAGTTTTACTCTTTCTGTTGATTGTGTAGATTGTGAATGAAACAAAATTGTAAATTTGGAGATGATCAAATCTTTTGCAGTAAAGCTTTTATCCATAAGAATTTCATAGGAACTATATTTTAGAAAACCTTCAGAATTTTTATGGTAGCAGTTGGGAGTACATATGTTGCTCTGTTATATTAAGCTCAAAGTACGCTTGTTGAGAATGAATTCACATTATGTATTCCATTTTGTAAGTTCTGGTGAAACAAACCAGAGGTTAGTGTATCGTCACTATTTGTAACACCAGACTTCATAATTCGTGTTTTCCTGTTATACTTTGAGGGAGAAGGCCATGGTTTTATTTTTATTAATGTCATAACTTTGTGAAAAAATAAATGAATTGTTTAAATTAATATTAGCTTAATGTTGGATTTCTTCAAATCGGGTTAATGCATTTGTTGGCAAAGAATGTGAAATAATTGCCTCAATGTTTAAAAACGATCAACAGCAAATTTTGATTTAATCAAAACCACTTCATAAACAAAGTACTTTTCACAGGCATAATTTACGCAACCTAATTGAATACGGTAGTACATTAACAAGGTGTGTAAACCAGAGGGGAAACAAAACAAAAGGTTGGTAGGGAGAAATTTTTCAAAAATCAAAACAATCTTCAGTTTTAACGGAAAAACAAGTCATTTCAATAAAAGTTAACTTTCACTCACCAAGTTAATCTCATCTTCATGACCCGGGAGACCGACTTTAGAGTAGATAAAATATCTCTCTGATAAAGGACAATTTTTGGAGAGAACCTATTTTCCAGATTCCAACACAATTGGAAAACACAAAATTGTACTGGGCAATATCTCCCAATCAAGCACAAGTGCAATACCTACTCCTCTTAAATTGATGTTTGTGGCCTAGTCAACTATAACAGGACAGACTTTTAAAAATATTTGCAAGTAGAAAATGCAACATGCAACTCACTAATGCACAATATACATCAGCTAATTAAAAATTGGACCTTGTGCAAACCAGAAAGGCACACTAGGATTGAAATGGTCAAACTTTTCAACATCAACTGGAGCAAATAGTGGAGCCTTGATTAAATTTTCTATCAAACTATCCTTCACCTTCATTTCCAGCAAAAGAAAATATTTCCAAAATAATTCATTTACAAAATTTATAAAAGTCAAGGAATGAACATTTAATAAGTTTGTGGTAATTTCTCTCATGTCTCATGTCCCTGAATACACAGTACATATGAGCAGCATTAACTACATATTTACATTTGTTTTGCTCATTTTTGAAGGTTGCAAACTGCATGTTTACCATATCTTCAGTATAACAAAGACACAGTAGTTATAGAGGGATATATTTTGTACAGTAAAATAAGACATAAATTTCTGTTCAAAAGAATCTTATATAGTAGATATAAAGGGGTCAGTCAGCCTGCATAGGGATAGGTATCACTTTGTGGAGGTTAGATTAGATTAAATTTTGAGAGTGCAATCAAGTAAAAAAAAAAAAGGAGGGGGGGGGACTTGTCACCAAAGCAGTCAGCTAGTTCACTTGACCATACAATAACAAACAATCCTCAAAGCATGTAAATATGTACAATACAAAGTAATCACTTTGAAAAGGTGCTCATGAAACACTAGATTTACCTTATCACAATTAATAATCTATTTTTCATCAACCTGAATAATCATTATGGTCAAAAAGATCTTGATCATAAAGTGCAGCTATAACTTTTCTTCCTCCAAAAAATCTTCCATTGAGACCATCTCTCGCACTCTCCGCTTCTGAAAATTAAGTAAGCTACGTCTTAACAATGTCCCAAAATACAACATTTCATTATCAATTTACAGTGCAGCACTTACCACTCATTTGAGAAAACTCTACAAAAATTTTAACAATTACTTCTGCATCATCATCTTCATCTTCTGACTGTCTTTCATTGTATATAATTACTCTTTCCACAACTCCATACCTGACGAACAAACATAAACAGTAAGAATACTAATATTTCTTTCAAGCTCACTACGTCTAATCCATAGCATCTAGGAGCATCCAATTACTTACTTGCTACATTCATCTTGGATTTCTTCTTGAAGTGTTTCATCTACATCTTGCGGCTCTACCATATTTCTTAAAATAACTACTCGGCTCTGTAGGTATTACATTAGAAAATGTAGATTAGATTCAAGATAAAACTCAAAATGAAGAGAGGTGCAGACGTGAGTGCTGTGGTAATCATCTTACCTCAACCTTCCTCATAAGCTTTTGCATAACTAAGTGCCTGGCACTTTGTCCTTTGATTGAAATATTTTCCTGGGCACTTAATGTTTGTGGTTCTGCTTCTTCCAAAAGTTTCTTCTGTAACTCTTCTTGCTGTTTCTAAAAACAAGAATAAGAGTACTCATAAAACAAAAAATAAAATAAATGAAGTACTATACAGCAAATATTGTAAGACAATGAATGTGTACCTGAGCTTGCTCTTGAGCTCTTTTCAAAGCTTCTTGAGCAGGTGTAATGGGTTGTCCAACAGAAGTAGGAGTTATGACGGCAGGAGGTGGGAGTGTTATAGATTGCCCAAGAGCTGTAATAAAACCATCATGAATAAATAACCAAATCAATCAATCAAAAACAACATTTTAAAATTTCTTTTTTAATGACAGGGAAAGAATAACTTACTCAAGTTTTAGGATTTGAGGGTAACTTTCAGCAACTTAGGATTCAGAGTATGTACACTTACCGACAGGTTGGATTTGAGCTGGGGCTCTAAGCTGAGGAATTGCTATTCCAGGGGGTGGAATGATTGCAGGGGGTGCAGCAGCTAACCCACTATTTAGCAGCCCAGCCTGCTGTTGAGCAGCTGCTAACAGTGCTGGGTTTCCAAGCACTCCAGGAATTGCAGCCATTGCTCCTCCAATTCCAGGAACAGATTGTGCTCCCAATGATGAATTTAGTTTTGCCATTCCTGTACAAAATATTCAAGATTAAACTAACGACAGTACTTAAATTTTCTTACCAAAAATAAATCACTATCTCAAAGGTAAGTCATTCAAACGCACTAAACTTAAGATACATAAGAGAATACAGATTTTTAAAAGATTGAGAACTTACCAAGTGCAACAGCATTTGTGGCAACAGCATCCATGGCCTGAATCTTAGCAGTGGCGGCAGCAGCTGCAACAGCAGCTGCCGTGGGCATGAGGTTAGCACCTTGGGTAGGATTCTGATAACAGAAACAAATCAGTCAGATCAGGTGAAGAGAATAATAATATTTGAAGACAATGAAGGCCTCATTCAAGAACGTACTGGTGGTCTTGCCTGCAAAGCATTGGGAGGAGTGATAGCACGTCCTACACGGAGGTACTGTCCACCCAGATCAAATAGATTCATAGATGCTATTGCTTCCTGCGATGCTTGTTGAGTTTCATACTCAATAAAAGCAAACCCCTTGTGTCTGTTTGGTGTTGGACCTGCAGCTAATTTGCAGCTCTTGATTGGACCAAATGCTTCAAAGACACTGCAGAGGTTTTTAAAAATATCAATCAGTAAAACATTGTTTAAAAATCAAGACCAACTATATTGATAATGGTTAAAACATACCTTTTGATATCATCCTCTGTCAAATCTGGGTGAATTGAAGCAATGTATATTCTATTATACTGTTTGGCTTCTTCTGTAATTTCATCAATGACAGATTGCGCTTGTGGCATGTTACTAGGTCGACCAACTACTTTAATATTTCTTCCACCTATCATGACACCATTCATTTGCTCTAGTGAAAGTTGAGCTGCTTCTGGGATCTCATACTCAACAAAGGCAAAGCCTGAACCAAAAAAAAAAAAAATCATTATTAATACTTCATGGGTTAACTGAACACATAAAATTTAAAGAACACAAGTAACAATAAAAACCTACCTTTGTGCTTCTGGGTAACAGGGTCCCATGACATATTGATTGATTTAATGGGCCCAAAAGGCAGGAATGCTTGTCGAATAGTGTCTTCTTTCAGCTCAAAACTAATACTTCCAACATAAACTCTATAATGGAAAAAGATTACACATTAAAAGTAGTTTGATTTCACTAACAAGTTAACAAAAGTGAAAGAACAAGAAGGATGATATTTAATATTTGATGCACAATGCAGTCAGATCCTATCAGCTTTATTTGTTTTTCCACTTAGGAGCAGGAGACAAACTTTTCAGTGCTCAACTGCTACTTCAAAACAATTTTAGAACTAATCATTCTGCACAAGAATTATATTTATCTAAAATTAATAATGATTGTTCAGGTAAGAAACAACCAGAAAAATACAAGTCCGGGGCAGAAAAGAGGCAGTCAGATCTTATCAGCTTTACTTGACTTTCCACTTTGAAGCAGGAGACAAACTTTACAGTGCTCAACTGCCACATCAAACAAGAATTAGGTCTAATCATTCTGCCAATTTCTGAATTACAATAAGTGGTTTTAGCTCTAACCTAGCTAGTATGAGCATGCATGAGGCTTATTTCTTGTCTGAAGTGTGACTGAAAAATTCTTTAAGGCACAATGTCAAAGATAGATAGATGGTAGTATACAATCATATGGCTGCGGGGAAGACATTTAGCATCTACAGCAAATGTTAAGAAATCAAGAAAAGGAAATAAGGGATCACTGGCACGTCAAAATTTAACCCCACCCCATAAAAGAAAAAGAAAAGAAAGAAAATGGCACAAGAATACATTTCACACTTTACCTGCACATGAGCACCAAGGCTTGCTGCCGATGGAATGATTTGGCTTTCTGTGAGAAAAGAACAAAATGGAAAAGTTAGTTTGGGGGAAGTGTTAGTCCTGATAAAAGTAAGAAAACAGTACAAAAAATTACCTGTTGTTGGTGGGCTAAGGTTTGCTTCATCAAAACCATCTTAATACTCTGCTCCATGGCATATTTCTTGGCCCTAGCCACATTTTCTTGTTGCTCTGAGTACAATTTTGGTAACCCAGCACCAAGTATACCTTGAAGGGTAGATCTTGCACCAACGCCTATGACATAAAATAATGTTGATTTTTAAATGAGGTAAATGAGATTAGAGTAAAACACAACCGTGAGAGTAAGAAAGATAAAGACAGACACTAACCAGCAATAAGTTGACCATCCTGTTTAAGGTCATAAATTGGTTCAGATGATATTGAGGAGATACCTACAAATAAGGAACAGAATTAGAGTATGTCCATTTCTGATGCAAGGAAGGTCTGTCGTCTACATAACACCGCCACAAGCATGACAGACTGAGTCTTAAATTGTCTAATAGACTTAGAGGTTCTTTTCCTTAGATCTAACAAATCATAGAAATAAGTTTCCAGATACCTAACACCCAGACACTGAGAATTCTAGCACATCAGAATTTTCAATTTACAGCTCCCTGATTAAAGCAAAAAGAATTTGATTGCACTAGTCATTTCTAAACTGAAATATTATTTTTTTATTTTTTTTATTTTTTTTTACCCTTTTGAGAAATAACATGCAAGAACTAATAAAAATTTTCAGCAAATATAAAGAATATGATCCCAAGAAAATAATTTTAACAAACAAAGTTAAAAATACCTGATTTACCATTACAATGAAAACACTTAATGTGAACAATAAAACTGACTTTGTATGAGTTAACTTTAATTTGGTTAGTTTGGTTTTAAAGAATTGGAACTTGAAGAGATTCAACGTTGGAGCTGCAGTTGACCAATATACCTACATCCGTATGACACCATAAGTGTCAAAAGACCATTCCAAGATCACAAACCAAACTACAGAGTACCAAAGCCACTTGAAACTGTCTTCCTTCCTTCCATCACTTGAGCAGTAACATTCCTGCCATTTGTATGACACCCAGGAATTAAAATCAAATCAAATTATTTGAATGTAGAAGGATATATACCAAGTCTGTGAGAAAACCCTTAAGTGAGGAAAGGGTAGGAGACAGGACTGAAAATTGTTAGTTTCACAACTCAGACATAAACCTCTGTAAGGATCTGCCTGAGAGGACAACCCCAATGTTTGAAAAATGAGAATCTCACTTAATTTAGCACTGAAAGAGTTTTATCAATTTAGTTGTGTTGTCTTCAGCAACAACAACACTTCAGAGGAAAAAGTTAATCAGGCAGAAGTTACAGTGGAATGTGTACAAGTTGTGCACTACACAAACAAGAATTGGTTGTGTCGACATGAGGCATAATATGACCTTTACCCCTGTGTACGATGATAATCGGGGGGCTCTGTCCCCGATTTGTACGCAGCGATCGCTGAAAACACCTGGGCTAGGCTAGGACGCAACTCTACCCATGAAACAACACAGAAAACAGAGAAAAGAAACAAGAAAATTAAAACTTTGACCCTCATATGGATTAGGACATTAAAAACAATCTGTTGATGTGAATTGGCCACACAAAAAGAAAAATGAAAACAAACAAGGGATCACAAAATAGGGAAATAAACTGGGTTGATATTTATCGTGGAGTTCCTCTTGTTGGGGTTACGGAAACTTACAAGAGTGAAGTCAAAGACCATTTTGACTGTTTGTCTTGCAAAGACCCACAAGGTTAAAATCACACTTTGTCTTGTCAACTTACAGTCTTGATATTGAAAGCAAAACTATACACTGAACACCATAAATTGACATAAATGAAATCTGTGGATCAAGTTTCCTTGGGTTCCTGGAGAGAGCGTTCCTCTAGCAGACTTGGAGTGTTGATTATGAAACAGCCAAACAAATAAACAATCTTTTACAGACAGTCTATCTATGTCCTATAATTAAAACCACCAATGAAGTATCAAAACATACAGGGAATAGGTAGAGTGTGAAAGCAGTTACTAGCATAAAGGGCAGATACTATGAAATGAGGATTTTTTTTTCACGCAACTCATAAAAACTTTCAAGTAAAGAGGTAAGAAACACTAAAACGACTGCAGAAAAATCTAATAATATGTGGCCCTTGATGCCAGCCTGCCAACACAATTCTTAAAATTAAATAACTTAAATGGTACTTATCCAAGCACAAATTGACCCTAAGTACTAATATGCTACAAAAATACTACATTTTCTTAAGTTTTGTTTTTAGTCTCATGAAGAACAAGTCTTCAACCTCTATTAGTAACAACACTAAAGTGAAACTATTCAGTAATGACAGCCTCTGGTGTCAGCCAATTGAAGGGCCTTCTGTAACAACTCAGAAACAGACCACACAAACTCCATTAGAAATATGATCTCAAAACAGCACGAGACCACCTGAACTTTCACATAGTAGATAGTAATTTTAAACACAGGTATTATAGGCAACATTTTCAATAAATTCTTACTTAAACTGCCCTTCAAACTTTCAAGTTTAAAATTTATTTTTGCATTTTAACTAGAGTTTACCCCATTTGACTCATCAGATGTCTTCTAGTGCATCCAGTATGTAAATTATAAAAAAAGTAAAAATCACTTTCACACCCAAATTACTTTTCTGGAGTAAAAAAGGTTTGAACTCTGCAAAACTTCATCCACACAACCACATCTATACGATGAACTGTTTAATTTTAACACAGCAAGCCAAACTGTGTTTCACACCTGAGTAATAAAGGCTACAAAGAGTTCCATTTATACAATTTAAAGGACTTGAACTCACAAGAAGTCAAATTCAATGTCTTCTCTGGTTTGACAAAGAACTAATGTGTGGAACTATCAGGTAAATTATGCAAAGAAGAGTGTGAGTTTGATGACAGTCGCATTTCACAAGATAACCCCATTCCACATAACATAACTCAATCATTCATAACAGTAAAGAGTGCAAATGATTTTAAGACGTCTTTCCTAGAAGCAACTTACGAGTGATAATTACAATAGGATATAACCCCTTAAAATTGTTTTTGTGCAATTCAATCTTTTCACAAAATTGAGGCTTTAGAAAAATGTTGACAATCAGCCCGCCAATTCACCCCAGAATCAACAAAGTACCTGCACCATGAGCATGGTTTATGCTGCAGAAACACAATCAAAGGAATTATAGAAACAAACCTAGAAATCATATACTTACTCTCTCTTTTAATTTTGGCAGGAGGCTCTCCATTTTCGGTGTTGACCCCATTTTCAGCCTCCCGTTTGATGGCCTTTGGATGTGCTTCGCTAACACCATTTCCTAATTCTTCTTCGACCTCATCCTTCACCTTCTCTGGTGGTATGGGAGGAGGAGGAGGAGGCGATGAAGCGCTGTCCTGATGGGGGAGTAGAATAGAAAGTATAATTCTAGTGACAATGAGAAGTAAGGAGATCACAATAACAAATCACATGGTTGGATGGACATGGGATAGTATTAATATCTAAAAGAATATTAAATGTTTTTGTTTAACTCAAAACTGTAGGAAGACGTTAAAAAACGCTAAAATGTTGTGAGGAATTGTAGGTTAACGGGTTCATAACCAAATTTACAGATGATTCCAAAGTTACGCTCTCCAGTGGACAAAACTTATCTGGAGTGAAAAAATTATTTCAAATCAAATTAGCCAATGGACTTGGCTCTAACAGTAAAATTAAGTCCTTATCGCACACAAAATTAACTAAGAAAAAACATTCACGCCATCTTGACACCAGTCATTTACTCACAGAGTTAGATGATCCGTTTACGTTACTGGAGTCCGTCGAAGCCGCCATGGATGGATATTTGTGTTGTACGTAAAAATAATGGGGAAGGAAGAGAGCTTAATTTTCCTAGCACAGTGGACACACGCAAAAGTAAAAAAAAAAACAAATTTAAGTAGGCGAATGTAAAGCTGAGAAGCGGCCCTTCTACTTTTCGTCAGGCGTAGTGTAGGCAAAAGGTGATACTGATATCCATTCACGCTACGCTTCAAAATTTTCCATGCCAACCCGTCACTTTCTTGTTTCACAAACTATGTTCTTCAACAATTCTAGATTTTTTTAAAACGAGGTATTGCGTTACGACAATACGTCACTTTTACATGGTCGTCCTTTTCAAAAATATTGCTAGACTTAAGCATTCTTGGTTGGCAGTGCTGGAAAGATTTTGTTTAGTTGTCATACCACACGCTGCAAACATTCTGGACTCATTGTAATGGTACTTTAACCAATTTTTAACCTGACGCTACAGCTTCATTTGCCATTTTTCTATTTTTTCGTTATACCATATTATCTCAAGAGTGGTTCCCAACGGGTATGTGTCTATGATGGTTGTTTCTTTTTTTTTTGTTAGCATGGCTTTGTCGGATTTGTGGGTTGTAGGCAGGGTGGCGGGTAACCAAGTGTATTTTGAATTTGTTGTTGTTCTTAAGGGTCCAGTGTTTACAGTATAGGTTGTAGTTGCTGGATTTTAGTAATCAGGATAGTCCGCGTCTGCGTGTCACTCCCTGTGCGTCTGTCAGAAAAGGAACTCCCGAAGTATTTTGATCAAACTGTCATTCGCGATGAATCTTACTTTATCAAAACTATATTTGTTCACCGTCATTAATAGTGACTTTCATAACCTTCCCATTCGTTCGAAGACAGTCACCATGACAACTGTAAGATGTTGTCCTGCTTCTACCAGCGATGGAGTGCGAAGTAAAGGCAAAGTCTATCGAACGATAGTTCAACGACTAATAGTTGTCAAGATGTGGAAGTGAATTGTTTCCTTGCCATGAGTCAGAAAAAGAGCCCTAACTTGTCAGCAACAAAGAGGAGTGTCGGTAGTGATGTCTTGCCTGGGGTACCACCAGTCCTTGGCGCTGGACCCCCGAAAATACGTCGTTTATCGCTGTATTCACACAGTGCCACAAATGTCCATGACTTGTTTGCTCCTCCCAAGGAACTCTTACGAGAACCCCAACCTAGACGTTTTAAGTCAAAACCTTGGAAACATGCTGCTGAGAAACCGGAATCGGTATGGCAATTATTGTTCAAAATCTGGACTATTAAAAAAAAAAAGAAACCTCTTTATTCCTGTGATTTTTCTGTACATGCAAACCCTTATCGTTCCATAGGTAGGGAAGTCATACACAGAACTTCGCAAAGAGAGGGAGGAATTTCGTCGAAAATTAGTACAGCTTGTTTTGTGTGAAGATGGACCTTCAGATCAAGCAAAAGATATCTCAGGATCATCCTTAGATTTACCAAGTCGAGAAGAAAGAGTTGTGTTGCGGTATTATTACTACATTCAACAAGGAGTTGATACTGTTCATGTCACACATTTGGATTGTGCCACCCTAAAACGTATCTCGCATCTCCTGCCTTCTAAATTGAAACACTGGAAAGACCTTGTTAGGGTTTTAACTCAAGAAATAAAGGCATGTATTCATCCTCTGTTTTCTCTGTATATGCAGCCAAGTGCCCGATAAGCTAATTTTTGATACATACTGCTTCAAATTTTTGTAGGAGGATTTCTTAAAAAGTGTGAAAAAAGCTATTGTAGACTTTGTTCTTCAAGATTCGTCAGAGAGTGAGTTAAAGCTTCCTGAGGAGGAAACAGAAGAAAGGAGAGTTTTGAAAGCAATTAGCAAACAATGGGTTGCAAACTATCCTGTGGTTCGTCACAAAATTCTTTCCAACTTGCATGTGGTTAACCCATGCATGGCTCAGGTTTTAGATCTATGGCAAAAAAATTATACGTAAGTAGATGAAGTTTTATTTTATTTCTACCAGATTTCTTTTGTAATACCATGTGTATCTTCCAGATCCGCATGTGTTATTGCTATCTTTACTATCTATTTTCTTTTTCTTTTTCAGGGAGTTGCGCCTTTTAAATTTAGGTGAACTTACTAAGGCTGCAGTAGCTGTTGATCTGATGGAATTTCAAACTTGGAGTAGGAAGGCCATTGATTCTGTGAGAAACCAACTGATGAATATTTGGTATCCCTCTATTCGTAGTATTTACTGCCAGGTAGGTGTTGTGGTTTGTTTCAATGTATCAAATTTTTGGAGAGCCTGCACTGTTGCTGTGATATTTGGTTTCTTATCATTTCAGGGCTACAAGAAGAAACTTGTTCCCAGCTCAGAAAATAAATCACTCAACCGAAACTTTTTTAATTGTCTTGCCACTCTTATGTCCTACCAGTTGCAGTGCTTGGGACTTTCTTCATTACATGACTACATGTTTTTTATTAATGATATAGGGGTAAGCATTCCTGCAAAGAAAAAAATGTAGCAAATGGGGCATCATCTTCTGTTTGTAAAGATTTTACATTCTAATTTGATGTTATCTGATCAGTATTCTAATCCAGGTTTTGAAGTACACCTTAATTTGCGTCAGAAAACTATTCAGTTTGAACCAGCTTTCCACATGTACAGGGATATTTTGTCTAAACTGTTGGATTTATTAGTGGAAGCTGTAGGAGATCTTCCTCGTATGGAAAGACAGTTATATGCTGATTGGGATGGACCTGTTGGTGAACTTCATGTTTGTAACACAAGTAATCTGTATTTTGTTTATATATTTTTTATTTCATTCCCTAAAGCATTTTCTTTTACAATTCTAACAGCCTGTAATTCCCACTGACTTAATTGGAAAATATAAAATTAATATTGAGGAACTAATAGCAGAGCACAGGATTGGTGTTGAAATGCGTGTTTCAGACTTTGACCCTTTCATCAAACTAGTGAACGGAGAAGTAAGTGATCAAGCACTATGTTACTTTATTTTATTCCTGAAGTGTCTACCTTGCTATGTAAATCCATTGCTGCTTGGCTTCCACTAGGCTCAAGAGGAATTGGAGATGTTTCTGTCTGAGGAACACACATTTGATGAATATTGTTCTGAAGTTGAAAAATACTATCAACTTCAGGTGGAAATGCCCATGAATCTAGAACATACAATAACAATGGGGATCTTTGACATGCACCGAGGAGAATTTATTGGGGCACTTGTTCATTCTGCCAAAAATCTTAAAGAACAATTGATTGCCCGAATGACACAGGATTATCAGGAGATGTGTAAAAGGTGACTTGAACTCCAATCACATTTTAATAAAATCGTATGAATTGAGAATAATAAAAACCTTTCTCTGCATAGACTCGGTGAAGAATATGCAGAAATAGCTGAACGTGCTTTAACTGTACCAGAATCAACAGAAGAGCTTATGGCCCTGATTGAGTATGTTCAAGGTGTTGAGAGTGAAACTGTTGTAGAGATGGAAGACCGTCTTCGCGTTGTCATGGCATACATGATCTTTCTTGCCGATTATACAACTTATTCTCCTATTGAAATGAAGCACAACTCAATTACTCTTCAGTGGTACAATCGAATGCCTAATGTGTTTGATGAAAACAGAGCCATGTGTGAACAGAAGACTGTAGAATTTCAAGATGCACTAAAGGTTTGTATACCTAGTTTTCATCTGTTACTAATCTAGTAAGTTCTCTTAATCTCATTTAATTTTACTCTCAGATGAAAATAGAAGCATTTACTGCAGACTTAGATGCATATGCTAAACAAGTTGAAGAATTCCCAAGCTATGGAGATATTGATGATTTACCAAAATATTTCAAAAAAATGAATCAACTTGATGCCAAATTGGAACAAGCATTTGAAAGAATTGATCAATTTAATGCTGAGGAGCGTGCGTTTGGCTTTGAGGAGACGGATTATCCTACTTTGAAAATGGTAGAAACACACTGTTAATTATGATACTTTATTTTTTGAAAGTCCTTCTTTTAAAATGATTAATATTTGTCATTTTTACTTAGCTCAATGAAGCATTAGGTCCATACAAAAAGCTGTATACAAATGGTATGGACTTTGTAGAAAAACATGAAATGTGGATGTCACACCAAGTGGGATCTTTTGAACCAGAAGTGATTGAAAATGAAACAGGAAGCTGTTACAGAAATATTCATAAACTGGAAAAGGCACTCTCTGATGCTCCAGCAGCCAAAAATCTTGCCACTGTTGTGAGTAAAAATTTTAACAAGTATATCTGCATGCTTTATTGAATTCATATCTTCATACCTCTTTACTCTGTAACTTTCGTAGATTCTAGAGAAAATAGATGAATTCAAGCAACATCAACCCATAATCAACACCCTTGGAAACCCTGGAATGAAAACAAGACATTGGGAACAAGTTAGTGTATTTTCATTAGTCTTCTCTTTTAATTCTCTCTTTATATGTAGCTCTGTTTATTAAATTAGATAACTATTGTATCTTTATTCAGGTTTCAGAACTAGTTGGCTTCCCCCTTCGAGCTGATCCAGAATTAACTCTAGCTAGAGTTCTTGACTTAGGTCTTGATGAATATGTACCTCGTCTGGAAGTTATAAGCGAGTCAGCAACAAAGGAGAATAATTTGGAAAAAACCCTTGATAAAATGATGAAAGAGTGGGGAGACATGGAATTCATTGTGGTGCCATACAGGTAAAATTTAATTTCAAAATGAACTGAATTCCATAAAAACACTGTGCTGGACAGACTTTATTTAGAATAATGCAACTTACAGAGATTCAGGAACGTACATATTATCAAGTGTAGATGACATTCAATTGATGTTGGATGATCACATTACAAAGGTGCAGACCATGAAAAATTCCCCTTACATCAAGCCATTTGAGCAAACAATCCAGTTGGTATAGTTTATTATGAAAAATTATTTTTATTTGTATTAGTACTTTTGAAAAATAAAAGTTTTTTTCAGGGTGTGGGAAGGAAAACTAATGCTCCTTCAAGATGTTCTGGATGATTGGTTGAAAGTTCAGATAACCTGGCTTTATTTAGAACCCATTTTTTCCTCTCCAGACATCCAACAACAAATGCCAGAAGAAGGCAGACGTTTCTCAGCTGTGGATAAGGCAAGTGAAAATCAGTCAAAGCAATGTTTCTCTTTCTTGACTTGTTTCATTCTGAAACCTCATCTGTTTTATAGGTATGGAAGGACATAATGAAAGCTGTTTTGACAGATTTACACGTTCTTGTGGTTCTTGAAATTGAAAAATTATCTGAGAGACTGAAGAAAAGCAACCAGCTTTTAGAACTAATTCTTAAAGGCCTTAATGAATACCTTGAAAAGAAGCGAGCATTTTTTCCGAGGTTTTACTTTTTGTCAAATGATGAGTTACTTGAAATTTTATCAGAAACTAAAGATCCAACTCGGTGAGAGTGGTTTATTTAATTCAGTAGCTATTTGAGGATAATTCTAGTAAAATATTGCTAGATGATTATTACAATTACTCTACAGGGTGCAACCTCATCTTAAAAAGTGCTTTGAAGGCATTGCTAAACTTACTTTTACCGAGGATCTTGATGTGACTGTCATGAAATCCAGTGAAGGTGAAGAAGTTGAGCTTGTTGATGTGATTTCAACAAGCAAAGCTCGAGGCCAAGTTGAAAAATGGCTTTTAGAGCTGGAAACAGATATGAAAAAGAGTGTCAGAAAGGTAGGAGTGTCATGATGGTTTTTGATCTTTCCGGTAAATCCTATTTTCACCAAATCAGTAACTAGGATTGTACTTGATTGTTGGAATGCAGATGGTCTGTGACGCTATGGAGGCATACCCAGCAAAGGCTCGTTCAGAATGGGTGCTGGATTGGCCAGGGCAAACAGTGTTGTGTGTGGCCATGACCTATTGGACATCACAAGTCCATGAATCCATTAGAACTGGTGAAAAGGGTTTACAAGACTTTCTTGACAAGAGCAATTATGAAATAGGGCAAATTATTGAATTAGTTCGCGGAAAATTATCCACTCAAACTCGGATCACTTTAGGTATACAATGATTATCAAGTGTTGTCACAAGTTTTTCATAGTTCTTTTGTGAAAATAAGGATTCTGAAATCCATGCTAACAACATGTTTGCCTCAAGAATTTGGAATATAATGTCCAAAACTTAGCATTGACAAGTGTTGAGATTTTTATTCTGTTTTCAGGTGCCCTAGTAGTGCTTGATGTGCATGCTCGAGATGTTTTAGTAGATTTGGTAAAGCAGAAAGTTAACAGAGAAGATGACTTTGCTTGGCTTTGTCAGCTCAGGTATTACTGGGAAGTAAGTAAAGTTGTGAAACTGTGTTTATTGTGGTTGTGTTTTTTATTGTTTTCTTCATGTCTTACTATCTTACTGCAGGAGGACCAAATGGCAACACGCATGATCAGTGCCCAGCTCATGTATGGCTATGAGTATTTAGGAAATTCTCCTCGGCTAGTCATCACACCGCTGACTGATCGTTGTTACCGCACTTTATTTGGAGCACTTCAGTTACACTTGGGAGGTGCTCCTGAAGGACCTGCTGGTACTGGCAAAACAGAAACTACAAAGGATCTGGCCAAAGCAGTCGCCAAACAGTGTGTTGTCTTTAATTGTTCTGACGGGCTTGACTATATTGCTCTAGGAAAATTTTTCAAGGTAAAGTTTATGCAGTACGTCAAGTACCAGCTATTATGCAATAAGAGAAAAAGAAGGTAATTTTTTTTCTTATTTTCTTCTTATTAAATTTCAGGGTTTAGCATCATGTGGTGCTTGGGCATGTTTTGATGAGTTCAATCGCATTGATCTGGAAGTTTTGTCAGTTGTAGCTCAACAGATTCTAACCATACAGCGTGGAATTAATTCAGGTGCTGAAAGGATAATGTTTGAGGGATCAGACATTCCTCTTGATCCTACTTGTTCTGTTTTTATTACTATGAATCCTGGATATGCAGGTCGGTCTGAGCTGCCTGACAATCTTAAGGTGAAATTGAATTTGTTCAATTACTATTGATTTAATATTAATCTTGAAACTACTTAGAATCAATTTTATTCAGTGCCAACAACTTTCATGATGAGCATAACATATTAAGCAAAAATCTGTAATATAATGTTATTTTTAACAGGCCTTGTTTAGATCTGTGGCAATGATGGTTCCAGATTATGCAATGATTTCAGAAATTGTTCTATACTCATGTGGTTTTATAAATGCAAGACCACTAGCTGTGAAAATTGTAGCAACATACAAATTATGTTCAGAACAACTTTCCTCACAATGCCACTATGATTATGGTAATTTTTTTTTCTCTTTACAACGTGAATCAAATTTTTAGTTTTCACCATTTACAAAACCTAAATTATCTTCTTTGTGACAAAGGAATGCGCGCTGTGAAATCGGTGCTGATTGCTGCTGGAAATTTGAAGCTTAGATACCCTCAAGAATCTGAAGACATTTTAATGTTGCGGTCCATCAAGGACGTTAATCTTCCTAAATTTTTAACTCATGACTTACCCTTATTTCTGGTAAATTTGGTTCATTAACTGACCGTAATTATTTTAAATCAGAAAAAATCTCTTTGAAATAAGTGGTATTTAATTACAGGGAATTACTTCAGACCTTTTTCCTGGAGTTGTGCTGCCTGACCCAGCCTATGACATACTCAACAAAGAAGTACGTGCTGCTTGCCAGGCGGCCAACATTCAGTGTACAGTTCACTTTTTGGAAAAGGTTCAACAAATTTATGAAATGATGATTGTTCGTCATGGTTTTATGATTGTGGGCTTACCTTTTGGTGGAAAAACAACAGCATACAGAATGCTTGCTGATGCTCTTGGTAGAATTGAGGAGAGTGTAAGTGACCAATGTGTTTGGTAATTTTTTTTTCAAAGTCATTATTTCAAACTGGCTTATTAATCTCCTGGTTACAGGGAGAATTGGAAGAAAACAAGGTTCAGATTACTGTGATTAATCCTAAGTCAATAACTATGGGTCAACTTTATGGACGCTTTGACCCATCATCTCATGAATGGTCAGATGGCGTTCTTGCTGTTTGTTATCGTCAGTTTGCTTCATCTACTTCCCCTGATAGGTAACCATACTAAATTTAAATTTACATCCAGTCTACAATCCCTGAGTTCATAACATAATACTTTTTTGGGTTGAAACTAAATATTAGGAAATGGTTGATATTTGATGGACCAGTTGATGCTATCTGGATTGAGAACATGAACACTGTTTTAGATGACAACAAAAAATTGTGCCTCATGTCTGGTGAAATTATACAGTTATCTCCAACCACCAACTTAATATTTGAACCAATGGACTTGGAAGTGGCTTCCCCTGCTACAGTAAGAACTAAAAGAAAAATAAACAAACTTTACAAAGAAAATCCTTTATGTTAGTTTTGAAAATGAAAATTGATCTAGGTGTCTCGGTGTGGTATGATTTACATGGAGCCATCCACACTTGGTTGGGAGGTATTGGTACTCTCCTGGCTGAACACTCTCCCTGCGGCTATCAATGATCATAATAAGACTATGATCAGATCCATGTTCCTGCGTTTCTGCCCTCCCTTACTTTGGATTATAAGGAGAGGATATGTGAAGGTAGATTGAGTTTGTACATTAATACATAGACTATCTGCTGTCATGACCTTAATGAAGTTCCACTGTAGCAAATTTGTCAAAGCTAATTGTGATTTCTGAAATGCTTATTCATGAGAAAACTGCTTTCTTCAGGAAATATCGTCTACCCTTGATTCTAATCTCATCCGATCCCTGACTAGACTCTTTGATTGCTACATGGATGACTTTGGGGATCCAGCTTTTGTTGAAGGAATTTCAGATTTGGATATTCGCGCACAACTGGAGGTACTCTTACTTATTTACTATCCCGGTATTACATATGTATATTAAGGAAAAACTATATTAATGTCTCTTTTAAAAATGAAATTCCAGGGAGTATTTTTCTTTTCATGCATTTGGGGTTTAGGGGGAAATTTAGATTCCCCTAGCCGAGAAAAGTTTAGCATTCTTTTCCGTGGTTTACTAGAAAAGGAGTTTCCAGCTAAACTGAAATCTGACTTTGGACTTTTGGAGAACATCCCCCCTCCTGTAAAGAACTACATTTTCACTATTCCAACTGATGGTCTTGTATTTGACTACAGATTCATCAAAGAGGTAAGGTTATTACTGTTCTATATGTTCTGCTAAAAATGTGATACATTGAATTTATTTTCTTTAACTTGGAATTTTTTGTGTACAGGGCAAAGGAAAGTGGAAGCTCTGGGCTGATGATCTAGCTAATTGTCCACCAATTCCACGTGATGTTCCTGTCAACCAGATCATTGTCCCAACTGTTGAAACTGTCAGGTGTACTTCCCTTATGACAATGCTTTCTACACACATGAAACCTCTTATGCTGATCGGCCCCACTGGAACAGGCAAATCTGTGTACACATCTGTATGTATTTCACTCCAATCGTCCATAGGAAAAATTTTATGTATCATCTCTGACCTCCTTTTCTATTTTATATCTGCAGGACTTCCTTCTGAAGAAGCTTGACTCAAACCAGTACAAACCCCTTTTTATTAACTTCTCAGCCCAAACATCAGCTAACCAGACCCAGGACATCATTATGAGTAAACTCGACAAACGACGCAAAGGTACACTGAATTTCAAATCCTTCTTTATGGTTTGAGACACGGCCCATACATTAAATGAACAATTCAAAATTTTTCTTCAGGAGTTTATGGACCACCTTTGGGTAAGGTTTGTATTGTATTTATTGATGATGTGAGTATGCCATTAAAGGAGACATATGGAGCACAACCACCCATAGAAATTTTACGACAACTCCTAGACCATGAACAGTGGTATGACAGGAAGGATATAGTCCCTATGAAAATAGTAGATCTATTGGTACGTGTCTGTTAAGGTATCACATTTTGGAGGATAAGGCCTTATTTTATGTATTTTTTATCACTTTTCACTATGCTTTTTTTTTTTGGCAGATGATGTCTGCAATGGGTCCTCCCAGTGGTGGAAATACTGTAACTCCAAGATTTTCACGGCATTTTAATCAGTTGTGCATCAATGAATTCAATGACGAAACTATGATTGCTATCTTTAATAAAATAATGCTGTGGCATTTGGATACAAGGTTGTATATTGGAAGTGAATCTTATACATATGTGTTTAACCAAAAACATCTTGTAAAATACTTGTATTTCCTCAAAATTATAGAGGTTTCAGCAAGGAGTTTGATCCATGCATAGATGAAATAGTTCTTGCAACACTAGATGTGTACAAACAGAGTTTGCTTAATTTACTTCCAACACCTACCAAATCTCATTATCTCTTTAATCTGAGAGATTTTTCAAGAGTCATTCAGGTACCATTGATCATCAAAGAACATGGTGCGTCCTTCTGAGAGTGTCTTGAATAGCCATTTCAATTAATTTTTAATTGTTTTCAAGGGTGTCCTTCTTTCTGTCCCTGAGACAATGGAGGATCTTGTTGCAATGAAGAGGCTCTGGGTACATGAAGTGCTCCGCGTGTACTATGACCGATTAGTGGATGATAATGACAGAACTTGGTTGATAAATTTGCTGCACTCAATATGCAAACCACGATTATCTGAAGATCTGAACAAAATGTTTTCACGTATTGCAACACCTGGACAGCCTGTGAGCAAAATTTTTCTTGTAGACACACATTGTGTGGGAATTCTTTTTTGTTACTGCTGTTTCTTTTATTGTAGGTGGGAGAAACTGAGCTTCGTAAGCTCATATACTGTGACTTTACTGACCCCAAAGCAGATACTCGACATTACCTTGAGGTTCAGGATCTTGATCATCTCAGAAGTGTGACGGAGGGCTACCTTGTTGAGTTCAACAATATGACTAAAAAGCCAATGAATCTAGTGCTCTTTAGGTTTGTACATAATGCTTTTAAATGTTAAGAAATTTTTCAACTCTTATATGCAATATTGTGTAGGTTTGCTGTTGAGCACTTATCTCGGATATGCCGCATACTGAAGCAACCCAGAAGCCATGGTCTTTTGGTTGGAGTTGGTGGTTCAGGAAGACAATCTCTTACTCGTCTAGCAACTCACATTTCTGAATATGACTTTTATCAGGTAGTAGCTTCTGTAGTACTTCTCAGATACTTTTAACTGTTACTGTTTTTACTGTTACATATTTAACAGGTAATTTGATTGATATCTTATTTGACATAGGTGGAGATGACCAGAACATATGGATCAGATGAATGGCATGAAGATCTTAAAAACATTCTTAGTAAGACAGCAAGTACTGATGTTCATGGGGTATTTCTCTTTACTGATACTCAGGTACCATACCTTTTACATTTTGTTCAGTTTTTGTTTAGCATGATGTGACATATTTTTTAAATCCTTACTTGCTTTTAAATTTAAAGATTAAAGAGGAAACATTTTTAGAGGATATCAATAATTTGTTAAATTCTGGAGAAGTGCCAAATCTTTTCCCATCTGATGAAAAGATGGAAATTTGTGAAAAGATGAGAATACTCGATAGACAAAAGGAAAAATCCCAGCAGGTGCGTACTTTATTGCTTCAAATACCTATACTACTTCACTTCATCAAGTATTTAATATTATAAAGTACAGTTCTGTTCATAATTTTTATGCTCTCTCCATTTCTGTAGACGGATGGGAGTCCTGTTGCTCTTTTCAATATGTTTGTTCAAATTGTCAGGGAACAACTTCATGTTGTCCTTGCTATGAGTCCCATTGGTGATGGCTTCCGCAACAATATTCGGAAATTCCCATCCATTGTCAACTGTTGCACTATTGACTGGTTTCAGGTGCAAATATTTGCTAATTAAATAAGAAATTTTGTCAGTGTTTTAAAAATTGCACTCTACATTACTAACTTTTGTTGCCTGACATACAGCCCTGGCCTGAAGATGCACTTCAGGCTGTAGCTACTAGGTTCTTGAGTGAAATTGAACTCCCATCCATGGAACGGGAGGCATGCATTGAAACTTGCAAAATGTTCCACACAAGTACTCATCTTTTGTCACAAGAAATGTTCACAAGATTTAGACGGCGTAGCTATGTGACACCTACTTCATATCTTGAGCTGATTTCTACTTTTAAAACTCTCCTTTCTAAAATAAGAAGGTATGTCATGTCTGTATGTATGTCATGTGAAACATATTTCTGTACATGATTTATCCAATCTGCATTACTTCCACTTCATTGTTTCAGCGATATATTAACTGTGAAATCTCGCTATGAGGTTGGTTTAGGGAAGTTGGACAATGCAGCCGAGCAGGTTGGGCTAATGCAAAATGAACTTGTAGCATTACAACCTAAACTGCTTGAGGCTTCAGCTCAAGTACAAGTTATGATGGCAAAAGTTGAATCAGAAAGTGCAGATGTTGCAAAAGTATGTTTTTGGCTTCAATAAATATGTTACCGTTACAAAGAGCTCCTGAAAAAACTTCTCTTGAAATAGGTTGCAGAAGTAGTAAAGGCCGATGAAGAAGTGGCAAATGAACAAGCTGCTGCAGCACAAGCTATCAAAGATGAATGTGATGCTGATTTAGCAGAGGCATGGCCAATAATGGAGGCAGCATTGGCTGCACTAAACACGTTGACACCAGCAGATATTACTGTAGTTAAGGCAATGAAAAATCCACCCAAAGGCGTGAAGATTGTAATGGAAGCCATATGTATTCTGAAGGTATTGATATTTTTGTTTCTCAGGACAAGTGGGAGTTAAGTGTTGATCATTGTCTGTCTTATTTGAATTTTACACTCTCAAACATATCTGTTGTAGGAAGTTAAACCTGATCGCATTCCCGATCCTGCTTCTGGGAAAATGACTGAAGATTATTGGGGTCCGTCAAAAAGAGTCTTGAATGATATAAAATTCCTTGAAAGCTTAATTTTATATGATAAGGACAATATTCCACCTCATATCATGCAAAAACTACAGAAGAGTATTTTGAACGATGAGAGTTTTGATCCTGATAAAATTAAATCTGCATCTACTGCTGCAGAAGGTAAGCGGAAGTCCAAAATAATTTTTATTTTTAAGAATAATTGTTCCCTATTCGTAGAAGCTAACTTCCTTGTCTTGTTAAATTTTAGGTTTGTGCAAGTGGGTTATAGCCATCTCAAAATATGATAAAGTAGCAAAGGTTGTTGCTCCCAAGAAAGCAAGATTGGCCATAGCTGAAGGAGAATATTCAGTGGCAATGCAAGCCCTAGAGGTTAAACGAAATCAGCTAAAAGAAGTCCAAGATAAGTTAAAAAAATTGGAAGATGTAAGTATTTAAAATTTATTGCAGTTTTGAGAGTCTTTTTCTCATATTTTATTTATTAACTAAAACAATGGCAAAGAACCATTCGCCCCAAAAAGGCCAAATAACATAGATTTAAAAACTCAATTTCTCTTTGAGGTTCTTGAAATGAACAAAAGCCGTATGCAAGAATTGCAAGATGACACAGATCTATGCAAATTGAAGCTGCAAAGGGCTGAAGAACTGATTGGTGGCTTAGGAGGTGAAAAGAATAGGTGGATGTCTACAGCCAAAGCATTAGGCGAGCGGTATTACATGTTGACTGGTAAGTAGAAGAAATCATAGACTTACAGTATTTCTTCCTTGGCATAGTATTCAATAGAAGCTAAAACTTAACTTCTCTCATTCACTGATTTGCTTAACAGGAGATGTTTTGATTGGCGCCGGCATTGTGGCATATCTTGGACCATTCCCCGCCCAAATGCGTTCCACACAAATCTCAAAATGGACAGATATTGTGTCAAACTTTAAAATTATTTGCTCCTCTGACTTTTCACTAACTGCAACTTTGGGAGATGCTGTTGAAATTCGTCAATGGAACATATTTGGTTTACCATCTGATTCTTTCTCTGTAGAAAATGCCATCATTGTTAAGTTAGTTGAAAAATATCACTGATTAATTAATTTGTTAGTAACTTTAGGATCTTCTTTTTGTTGCTGAATAATGGTCTTTATGTTTACCAGGAATGCTCGTCGTTGGCCGTTGATTATTGATCCCCAAGGACAAGCTAATCGTTGGATAAAGAATATGGAGAAAGCAAATAATTGTTCTGTTGTTCGTTTATCCAATCCTGATTATATGCGTGTGTTAGAAAATTGCATTCAGTTTGGTCAGCCGGTAAGTAAAGATTCTAAATTATGTTGTTTTTCCTCTCAAATATCAAACATAATTAAAATTATTTATTAAAATATACACATCAGGTTCTCATGGAAAATTTGGGGGAGGACATAGATGCTGTTTTAGAGCCGCTTCTCCTCCGGCAAGTGTTTAAGCAAGGATCAGGAATGTGTATAAAATTAGGGGATAGTGTTGTGGAGTACAATGACAATTTCCGATTTTATATGACCACTAAGTTGCGCAATCCTCATTATTTACCCGAGATTGCTGTGAAAGTCACACTCTTAAATTTTATGATAACACCAGATGGCCTTCAAGATCAATTATTAGGCATTGTCGTTGCTAAAGAGCGACCTGATCTTGAAGCTGAAAAAAATCAGCTCATAGTCCAGGGTGCAGAAAATAAGAGGTTTGCTGTGGAATACAATTTTGACATTTTCCAGTGTTTCTAAGATGCACTTATGATTTATTGTATTGTCTGTTTAGAACATTGCAAGAAATTGAAGATAAAATATTGTATGTATTGTCATCTTCTGAAGGGAATATTTTGGAAGATGAAACAGCTGTTCAGATATTAAGCTCTTCAAAAGCTCTTGCGAATGAGATTGCTGAAAAGCAGTCCGTGGCAGAAGTCACTGAAAAGTCTATTGACTCTGCTAGATTAGTTTATACACCCATTGCAGTGCATTCTACGGTTCTTTTTTTCACTACAGGTTTGGAGCAAAAATGCTTTGGGCATAATTCTTGTAAATAAAATAGGAATATAATTTTTGTGTCTGAATTGCAGCTGATTTGGCTAATATTGATCCAATGTATCAATATTCTCTTTCATGGTTTGTCAATTTATTTAAGATGACAATTGACAACACTGATCCTGTAGATGATGTAAATCAGCGTATTGCTGGTCTTATTAGTGGCTTCACATATGCACTCTACTGCAATATTTGCCGCAGCCTCTTTGAAAAGGTAAAAGAATGGTACATTGTTATTAATCCTAAAGGTACCCACTAACTACTTTGAATCGTACTTATTCGAATTGCTTCTTTACAGGATAAACTTTTGTTTTCCTTAGTGCTTTGCACCAATTTAATGAAGCAACAAAACAAAGTGAATGGAGAAGACTGGATGTTCTTCCTCACTGGTGGAGTTGGATTAGATAATCCTCATCCCAATCCAACCTCCTGGCTTGACTGTCCTTCTTGGGATACATTATGCCGCCTAGATGATCTTCCATCATTTCAAGTAATTTTCAACTGCAATTGTAAGAACATCCATGTCATGTACCAATCTTGTAGTCTAACATTTTGTAACATTTTAGGGTATTCGGAGTGACTTTGAAAAAAATACTGCAGGATGGAAAGATTATTTCGACAGTGCTGAACCTCAGAACACTCCAGTCCCAGGGGCATGGAATACAAGTTTGAATGAGTTTCAAAAACTTCTAATTCTGAGAGCCTTGCGAGCTGATAAGGTTGTGTCAGGTGTTCAGAATTACCTGTCAGGTACACTATTTGCAATGTTTACATTGATTTACTCTTTTGAGTACATTCAAAAAAAATTATATTTCTATTTTTTTTCTTCAGCGAAAATGGGTAGCAAGTTTGTGGAACCTCCTCCATTTGACTTGGTTTCTTCCTTTAACGACTCCCACAGCTGTATTCCTTTAATATTTATATTGACCCCTGGTGCTGATCCTACAGCAGTTCTCTTGAAATTTGCTGATGATCAGGTATTTTTAAAAAATGCAATAGAATTTCTTTTTTGTATTGCTATTTTTATTAATGTACATGATTTAAAATATTAAAATACAATCTTATTGCAGGGTTTTGGGGCCAATCGACTTTTCTCACTATCCCTCGGCCAGGGCCAGGGACCCATAGCTGTTAAATTAATCGAAGAAGGTGTCAAAAGTGGGACATGGGTTGTATTGCAAAATTGCCATCTTGCAAAAAGCTTTATGCCTACATTAGAAAAGGTAATGCCGAAATATTAACCAACGTCAAGAATTTACATTGACATTATTGCAATAATGTAGTATTTTTTTTTAGTTTGTCTATCTAACGTTCTTTTCCACAGATAGTGGAAAACTTGTCTCCTGAAAACACACATCCAGACTTTAGACTGTGGTTGACGTCATATCCTACAGAAAACTTTCCTGTTTTAATTTTACAAAATGGGGTGAAAATGACAAATGAACCTCCGAAGGGCCTCCGATCCAATATTATTCGGTAACCTATATTAGGGTTCATTCAAATACTACATGCCCAGAAAAGGGAGGGGGAGGGGGTATATACCATGGCCTCCCTATTAGGTTTAGGACCAACGGAACCCATAATGTCGGCCCCCTCCTCCCTTTTCCTCCGGCACGTAGTATTTAAACTATTCCTACCTAAACTGGAATTAAAAGATACATGACAATACTTGGTTTCTGTAAATGTGACAAAAATGAAGAGGATAAAATTGGATAAGAATACTATGTTAATGTAATTTTCAGATCTTTCCTGAGTGACCCCATCACTGATCCTGAGTGGTTTGAAAGCTGTCGTCAAGGCGAAGTTTTCAAGCAAATGTTGTATTCTTTGTGCTTTTTCCATGCTGTGGTCCAAGAACGAAGAAAATATGGTCCACTTGGCTGGAATTTTCCGTATGAATTTAATGAGACAGATCTGCGAATTAGTGTTCAGCAACTTCATATGTTCCTTAATTTATATGAGGTACAGTAAAAATAAACTGTCTTACCTTTTCTGGCCCTTTAATTAATATTGCTCAAAATATTATTAAAATATGTTTTACCTTCTTTCCAGGAAGTTCAATTTGAAGCTCTTCGGTACTTGACTGGAGAATGTAACTATGGTGGAAGAGTGACAGACGATTGGGACCGGAGATGCCTTAATACCATTCTTTCAAAGTTTTATTGCCCTGAGCTGGTAGGAAATGCTGATTATGCATTTGACTCGTCAGGTAGTTGATGCTGAGAATGAAGTTTAACACATGTTTGGGTATACTGTAAGTGTCTTCTTTCAATTGATTTTTTCCTTTACTGTTTTCAATAGGAAAGTACAAGGCTCCTATTTTAAAAGAGTATGATGCATATCTATCATATATCAAAAGTCTACCTTTAATAGCACAACCAGAGGTGTTTGGAATGAATGAAAATGCAGATATAATTAAAGATCAACAAGAAACAAGTCTTCTCCTCTCAACCATTCTCTTAACAGAGGTGAGTAATTTTTATTGTAGGAAAGTTATGTAATTAACTATTTAATCAATTATTATAATAATTGACTTGTAAGCTGATATATTTTTTTTGTTTTTAATTTTAATTTCTTCTCATAATTTTAACTCCTATGCTTATGTCTGTGCTATTATCTGCTTCCTGAGGTGCCTGTTTTTTTGTTTATTTTTTTGTCTGCCATGTACCAGTGATGCAATTGCCTTTTCTTTTTGTTAATGCCATCAGGATAGAGTTGTAAGTACTTAATGAATGATTCCTTTATCAGCAAAATAACACTATTGATTTAATTAAGCTGCTTTAACCAAATAAAAAAAACTAATGCCATGCTTTTTCTAATAATCATATATCAATGCTGCGTACTAGGATCTTTTAGTATTACAAAAACTAGAAGCGGTAAGTTACTTTAAGTTATTTCAACTCTAATTTTATGAACCTTTTTAACAATTTATTTATGTTTCTAGGATGTTGCTTCAGCTGGAACAGGCAAAAAATCTCAAGATGAGGTGGTTTTAGACCAGTCTAGAGATATTATCAGTCGGCTGCCTGACAACTTTGATACTGAAATAGCAATTCTGAAGTATCCTACAATGTATGAGCAATCTATGAATACCGTTCTCATTCAAGAAATGGGCCGTTTTAATATATTACTGACTTGTATTCGTGAAAGTCTGATTAATGTAGAGAAAGCCATAAAAGGTTTAATTGATTTCTTTACTCTCAGTTGACATTTTTTAATGTTTTTTTTTTTTTTCTTGTAACATTTTATTTCTTTGTACTTTAGGAGAAATAATTATGTCATTTGCACTGGAAGGTGTGGTTAACAGCCTTTTAACCTCAAGAATACCAGCTATGTGGGCTAAAAAGTCGTACCCCTCCCTAAAGCCTCTTGGAAGTTACATTAATGACTTTGTTCTACGGCTAGAATTTCTCCAGGTTCACATTTTGCCCTGTCCTTAAATATGTATTAAGTATAGTCATACTGCTGAGCAATAAATTCTGGTTCCACTTGTTTCAGAAATGGTATGAAAATGGACCACCTGCTGTCTTCTGGCTCTCTGGCTTCTATTTCACTCAAGCCTTTATGACAGGTGCACAACAGAATTTTGCTAGGAAATATTCCATACCTATAGATTTACTTACATATGATTTTGAGGTGAGTTGGTTTGCCTTCATTTACTGTGTTGTTTATTTTTATCCCTTTCAATCATTTTTGTCTATTTGGCAAGGTTCTCTCTGACGACATGCCCTCAAGCCCACCAACTGATGGTGCCTATATTCATGGCTTATTTTTGGATGGTGCCCGCTGGAATCGAAGTAGCAGAACTGTGGATGAAGCTTTCCCTAAAATTTTGTCAGATACTGTACCAGTGGTGAGTTGGTTGTATGTTCACATTCACTCATTTTCCCAAGTTGAAGCTAGAGTAGTTGTCAATTATATTTTGCTCTTTTCAGATATGGTTCCAACCAATTAAAGTTGAAGATTTAAAGGACAAAGTTACGTACAATTGTCCATTATACAAGACTAGTGAGAGACGTGGAGTTCTTGCAACAACAGGGCATTCCAGCAATTTTATAATAGCTATTAGACTCCCAACTGACAAGCCTCAAGATCACTGGATTTTGAGAGGAACAGCATTGCTCTGCCAACTGTCTTCATAAAAATTGGAAAAGTTCTGGGATTTAAGTTAATTGTGAGTGACATTGTATTACAGGTCAGAATTTATTAAATTACACAGGTCCTAGAGTTTCTCAACCAAATCAAAACAAAACAAGACAAAAAAATTAACAATAATACTGGCAAAGTTTTAGATACACAGGTTTTGGTCTGAAAATAAACTCCGGGATCACATCAATGGCGACTTAAAAGTCAATGTTGAAAGGCCAATCCTTATGGTCTGTAGCCCTGTAAAACAAAATTTAGGAAATTGGGTAAACATAATCATAGAAGTTATTGACAGGTGGAGATACTTCAGCAAATAAGCTTAAAAAAACTGATTGGAATACTCACTCATTGAATGGACAAATGCGACCATTGCAATCTAGTCCATCAATTGTCTTAATTTCTTCAGCAGTAAGTTCAAAGTCAAACACTTGGAAGTTGGTCTGAATGCGAGAAGGAGTTACAGACTTGGGGATTGGCACAGTGCCACGCTGGATCTGGAAATAAGTATAAAATTAATGAAATAAATTGGTTGGTACAACATTAAATTTATAAAACAGCAAATTTGAAAAACCTTACCAGGTAGCGTAAAATAACATGGGCATTAGATTTCTTGTGCTTGTCAGCAATAGCTTTGATGATAGGATCATCTAGTAGGGAAGGATCGGTGGGCTTGGCCCAAGGCCTGTCAGGCGAAGCAAAGGGGCTGTAGGCTGTGACAAGGACATCCCTCTCTTTGCAGTAAGAGATTAGTTTGCTTTGGTTTAAGTATGGGTGCACCTCAATCTGTAACAATTGGGAAGTATGATTAACATTTTCAAGAGTATGTACCAATGGGCCATGTCAGTAGAATATTCCCAGTGACAACAAACCATTGTGATTTAGCGCCCTAAGTTGGTTCTTCTCTTGGAGAAGTAGAACCACTTGATAATTTCTTATCACTACTTGGGGCGCTTAGTATCTACGTAACTTGATCTTATCATACCCAATAACTGGTACTTGTTGGCATACCTGGTTAGTAACTGGCTTAATCTTGGCTACTTTAAGAAGACGATCAAGCTGCTCACTGTTGAAGTTTGACACACCAATGCTTTTTGTCAATCCCAGAGCCACACATTCTTCCATGGCTTTCCATGTGTCCACATAGTCAGCATCACTAAATTGAACCTTTCCATCCTTGGTGGGAAAAAGATCTTCTCCCTCCTACAATACAACAATGAAAAAGTACATTGTGAATATTAGATACGATTTGAAAATCACAAAGAAGTAATGTGGAGAATTACCTTGAAGGCCATAGGCCAGTGCACCAGGTACAGATCGAGATAGTCCAAACTAAGGTCAGACAAAGTTTTCTTGAGAGCACCTACAACGAGCTCTGGTTTGTGACATGTATTCCATAACTGTGAAAACAAAAATGCAATATAGATCCCAAAACACTAAATTTGAATCAGTCAAGTAAGCCAAAATAAGAGACTGTCTTACTTTGCTTGTAATGAACATGTCTTCTCTCTTGACAACACCCTCATTAATTTTGGCCTTGAGACCTTCCCCAACTTCCTTCTCATTCTGGTAGACATGAGCGCCATCAATGTGGCGGTACCCAGCATCAATAGCAGCCTTCACAGCTTGTGTCACTTCACCAGGCTTCGACTGAAATTGAAATTGGTTACACATTTATTACACACAATTCATATTTAATGTCACAATAAGTAAAGATCAATTTTTTGATTATTTTTTTTCAGTAATCAGATCTGAAGCCCTTCAACCAAAGCCTGCTGTGTTTCATGGACATTCCCCTTGAATGTGCCTAACAAGCTTACTAACAGATAAGGAAACAAACTACTTGGAACTTTGCTGAGCAGGCTCCTCATGGCATGACTGTGGCCTTGGAAAAAGCCACAAGTGGTCAGGTGGTACGGCAAGCCGACCACCAATAGGCAATAAGCTATCATCAGAAAATTTCCATTGATACATTTGTAACAACCATATGAGAGTCAGCAAACATATAGAAAATTTCAAGCAGTTGATGCCTTAAAACTTCCAATATGTGAATAATAATTTTGCAAGGAAAAATAGCGATGATTGAATAATAGTTTTTTGATTGACTTTCTGTCATCACTAAGAATGAATATTATACAAAAACGTAGATAGAGTGCCAGATGAATAATAAGATATAACAGCATGAAAGTGACGTTGGGCCCGTGTCCTTCATCGACCAAGGCGAATATGCCGTGTGGCCTTGAGCAGACCGGCCATGACAACGCTGCTCAGCGTGGTCCGTAGTAAGCACCCAAAACAACGCTGTCTATGATAGTTTAAGTTTATCGCCGAGTCATTACACACCTTCCATGTGCCCAAACCGAGGACGGGGATGAGCTTGCCGTTGTTGAGGCGGATTGTCGGGGCGAGTTTGGCTGTCATGCTGAGATAATGTGGGACCGCACTGCTGAAACGCGACCGACTGACCGCGCTGAGAGATAGCCAGCGACTTGGGCCGAGGTGGGCGATGACGGCTGCTATAAGGGCGTGCCGCGGCTGCCGCGGGCGGGCGATGCGGGGGGTGGGGAGTGGGGGCGGCCGCAGCATGTGTTGCACAGCACTGTCAACTTTTCTTTTCTCGAGTCAACTACGGTGGTGGGTTTGGATTTTGGGTAGGACTGTGCACACAGCGATATCATGTTGTATTGATTTTTCGCGTTGCTCAGCGCTTGCATGGGTTGGGTAGGGGAACGGGACTTTATTGGAACAATTATTGCTGACAAGATAGTATTCGCCCCGGCAAACATAAAATCTGTTGTTAGCTTCACAGACGTTTCTTGAATATAATTTTATTTTCCAAGAGGGAGTGCCTCTGAAGCTCGGGTCGGAGTCGGAAGTCGGAATTAAGGGAAGACATGGAAAATGGGCAAATAAAAGGAAATATTAGGGAAACTGGCGAACAAGAACAAGGCCGATTGGTTGAATTTCCACACCCCCACCACTCCGTTACACCATTCGACCAATGGGATCCCTCCTACCATTTCTTCTTGTTCTTCAACAAAGCGTTGAGGTTTCTCATAGTTCGCGGGGCTTTAGCCTCGCAACAGGACCCGCCAGAAGAGGAGACGTTAAAAAAAGAAAAGAAGGACCTAAAGGAAGAGAAGGAAGGGAGAGGAAAGATCGACGTCCGGCTAGGCGGCGTTCACTTGGCGTGGCATTGGGTATTGTTTGACGTGGACATCTTTTTATCTAGGGAAAGGTAAACTGCGTACCTCTGTACACCATGGGAGCCTCTGAGGTGAGTTCTAAAGATTTTGTTTAAGCTAGAGATTATGCTTTTAGAGAGTTAAATTGTTCACTTTCACGCTATCTTGAGGACTTAATTTTGTCACTCGGCCGCTGAGTCACCAAAATTTTTGAATTTGTTGTTGCGACTAATGCATGTAGACTATTGTTAATTCTTTTTGTAGTACCTTTTCCACTTTTAGTTTAATCGTTTTCCCAAGCCTTTCTGCGCAGTTTTTGGCGTTTTGTGACTTACTAAACTAACCCTACTATATTAGAGAACCAACCTCTACCTCACAGTTCTGTCCTGGTTCAGTCATCAAATCCTTATCACTTAACCTACTGATTTAGTGCAACGCAATTATTATCTTTCTTTTATTGTTTAGTTTGTTTCTGAATTTCTTTTGTTCTTTAATAACCTCTTAACTTTGTACTGGCCTAGATTTTACTTCCGTTTACAGTTATCTCAAATTTTCTTACTTTAAAAATTCTGTTTGTCAGTGTACCTTTTCATCCATGATTCTAATCACTAACAAAACCTTTTACTTTTTAATTCTCATTGCTATGAATTTAAAATTATGTGTAGATTCTTCTCGGTCGACTAACAATAAAAATGGGCCAGTGGCAATGTTTTACGAAACTCAAATTTTTCAAATTAACTTTTGAATTTCAGGAAGGGAAGAATGAGCCTGAACAGCTTCGCAAGCTGTTCATTGGGGGTCTTGATTACCGCACCACTGATGACTCAATGAAAGAATACTTCGAGCAGTGGGGAGAAGTTGTTGATGTTGTCGTCATGAAGGACCCTAAAACTCGAAGGTACTTTGTTGGTTTTGGACATAGACCGTACAACAAAGAAACATGAATTTATTTCATGTATTGTTTCATAGTCATTTGAAACGAAGCTCTTAAAATTTTATCTTTTTCAGGTCTCGTGGGTTTGGTTTTATCACATATGCCCAAGCACACATGGTTGATGCTGCTATGTCAGCAAGACCACATAAAATTGACGGAAGAGAAGTTGAATCCAAACGAGCTGTTCCTAGAGAGGTGAGGTCATTTTAGCACAATCTAATACTTGACCTTGCTTTGTGGGTCTTATCACCCCTCCTTTTCCCTCAATGCCCTGATCATGTGACATGTTGTGATTGCAATTTCAATGTGTTTTGAACTTTGTAATTTTTTTTTCCTAGGATATTGGTCGCCCAGAAGCAGGTGCTACAGTGAAGAAACTTTTTGTTGGTGGTGTTAAAGATGCACACACTGAAGACAACCTTCGAGATTATTTCAGCCAATTTGGCAATGTTGTGTCAGTGAGCATTGTACTGGACAAAGAAACTGGAAAGAAACGAGGCTTTGGATTTGTTGAGTATGACGATCACGATGCTGTTGACAAAGTTGTGCTTCACAAGAACCACCATGTTTGTGGACATTCAGTGGATGTGAAGAAAGCCATTAGCAAAGCAGAACTACAGGCTGGAGGTGGACCACGGGGTGGAAGAGGCGGCGGCGGTGGAGGCGGCGGCGGCGGTGGCGGTGGTTCTGGAGGCTGGGGCGGCAACGACTCCTGGGGAGGCAGAGGAGGAGGTGGTGGCGGCGGCGGCAACAGCTGGGGTAAGTTGCTGTGTATTTTGATGATCGCTGGCGTTGATCTAGCTTATCTCTCTGGATGCAAGTACCTATTTTTTTTTTTCCATTTTGCAGGAGGTCAAGGCAGTTATGGAGGTGGACCATGGGATAATCAGGGCGGAGGCGGAGGTTGGGGAAACCAAGGAGGCGGTAACCAGAGTTGGGGAAGTGGAATGTCAGGTGGTGGAGGATATGGAGGTGAATTTTGAATAATGTGTTATTTGTTAATTTATTGTTTAGAAGAGACAGTTTTGAGAATATCTTTTTCTTTTTATTTTACCTTACTGAAGGTGGATATGACAACTATAACCAGCAAGGATATGGTGGTGGTCCAGTACGTAACAACTATGGTTCTTCCAACCGAAGCCAGCCCTATGGTGGCGGTGGCGGCGGTGGCGGCGGCGGAGGTATGTCAAACCTTTAGTGAGGCCCTCAATACCTTAGTTTGCCAGTTCTGCACTTGTCTGTGCCCGATGTGTTTTCTTCAGAGTATCATTTTACAGGATATGGTGGTGGATCCGGCGGCTATGGAGGAGGCTCCCGCCGATACTAGTTTCTGCTTGCGGGTGAGTAAATTATTAGGTCCCGTAGGGGCCTTTTTTTTTTTTTTTATCTTCATGACTTGTGTAGATTTTAGTTCCATGACATATTTAGAAATATTGGTTGAAACCTGGTCATACCTCTTCATATGTTGCATGGTGGTCTTCTACTGTGGTCAAATGAGGCTTTGTTGTTTTCCTACAAGCATTCATTCACACCTTTTTTTTTTTTTTCCAATTTCCATTCTTGAGGCTATACTTTCAAGCTTGGGTTAACTTTTTTAGACTTTCTTTTAGTATTCTGCTCTTTGATTTTTTAAAACAAGGACTTCTTGGATTCTGCATGAATGAGGACATTTCCATATCCTTCACTGTCATTTATGGTTCTTCATTTTTTAATGAAGAAATTGAGACTTTGAGGGAAACGTCAGGGAAACTTGGACAGAATTTAGATTCCTTCCAATACTGTCTAATACCCCCACCCATTTCTCAAAACCCTTAATATTAATCGGTCTTTTATTATAGTATCTGTACTACTTATTTAAATTGACCTGAAAGCAACTTTTACAGGGTGGTGAGCATATCAGAGCTACTGATTGTTTCAATTTTGCTTTCTAGAAATGCATGATTTAATTTGCTGCTGAATTACAATTGCTACACCTGACTCCCTTTAGCTTCTAACATTCTCATACATTCATCTAGTTGTTCTATGAATTCAAGTTTTCAAGGGCTCAACTCATCTCAATACTGCTCGACTCTTATCTAGACACTTCAAACACTTAACTTTAGTGCTAATTTTAACTGTACCAAAATATTGTGGTGGTGGTCAACCCTCTTTGTAAGTATCAGAAATGGTGCCTCTTATTTTTCCAAGCAGATATCCTTTGAAAATCAACTGACTGGTTAACATAAGCACACAACATTTTGTTGCACTACTTTTATATGTCTTTGGCTTTTGGAGTTTAAAATATCTTTGCTGATTTCAATCAGCTGTTGATGTACCCCTGAATATATACCCTGTGGCAGGAGTCACAGTGCCCCACAACTCACAATCATAACTACTTCTTTATTTGCTCCTCACGTGTGGCTTTATTTAACTGCCCTTTTAGGTAGTCGCCCACTGTACTGAATCAGGCTTTATTGCATTGTCACTGGCATGAACGAAAACGAGGGATAATGTAATAAATGCAAGAGGCAAACACTGAGCAGTTGTTAGCCTTTTCTTTATCAATTTTTGCTAGTTTTAGATGTGACTAATTTATGTTTGCGTTTGCTGCCATAGGTAGTTCATGGAGTCAGGCAGGCAGGCAGACAGGCAAGGGAGGTTAGGCAGTTAGAAGACAGCCTAAAGCTCTATGAGCCACACAACAGCCCAGGAGCAGGAGCAGAACAGGAATCCATCTTATGTAGTGCGAAGTACCTAGTGCAATAAGACTGTGAGAAACAAGCGCCACATGCTTCACAGATCTTGCATATTAAGTTAACTGTCCATTAAATGAAAGATTTTCCCCATTTTATCCATTAGACTCAGTCGCATAATGTGCCTTGTTGGTTTTGTCTTCACTTTTGAAGTTTTACAAGTTGTGTGAATGCTGATTACCTATATATCTATATAAACTTATGTTTGGCTGATGAGGTACAACTTGTGCAAAACATTGATTCCACTGTAATTTTTCCTGGAGACTGCCAGTAATACTGACACTTAAGATCATTCCTTTGTTTAGTCTGTGCATTGAAATGAAATTTTATCAGTAATATTGGAAGTTTCTATTAAAAATTGATCAGTATTTTGCACAGTTTATGAAGTTGATTAGTGTGGCTGACAGATTCTGCAGATAAAAATTTTGGAGGTTTGTTGTTTAGTTAGATGTTTTGTTTAATCCAAAAATTCTATTGAAATTTTGTCAACTAGAGATAGTTTTGTTTGTGGTTGATATAGAACAGACTGATTGAAATTGACCTATAATTTAAAGGGTGAGTGCTATTTTTCTGTACTGGGTAGCTTTGGTACTGTAGATGGTAGTCAGATCTACTAAAAGTTTATTTTCAGATGATTTTTCCTGCCACTCAACAAGTCACTTCATACAGTCAACATTTTCATTGCGGATTTTCATAACTTATGAAGTACCTTTTTGTGGTTTCGACGGTGCAGGAATGCTTGTGCGTGTGTTTGTGTGTGTGTGTGTGCGGGTGTGTGTGTGTGTCGGAGTGAGAGTGAGTATGTGAGACATGAGGGTATAGATCTCTAAACTCTTATTATGTATGCAAGTTTGAGTGTGAAGGCTAGTGTGTTTGTGTGTTCATGCACGATAATTTTAATTTCATATTCAGTGTGAATTTCTTGCCGCAAGATTTTCTTATGCACAGATCTGTATGAATTGACTGCATGGTGACCAGGGATGATTATGGACCATGTTTAATTTAGACAGAACATGTCACAATCCAAATCTATAATACTTCTAGTTACTTATGCTTGAAAACTTTAGTTTTCATGAATATACTAATAGCTTTCTTTTGTTTAATTTTATAAGCATTTTTGAAATAAATTTCATTCCTTAAGTGCGACAAGAAATGTAGAGTCTAGTAATTTCACATATAATTTAGTAAAAGGTCAGATTGTAAGCATGACATTCATCAATCCTTCAAAACTCCATGTTACTTCTCATTTTACATTAGATATGATTGTGATGGAAGAATTGGGTCCACTAATTTCCTTACATTCAGACTAAATTCACATATATAGTTACCTGTGCTTTTTTTTTTTTCTCACTCATTCAATAAATGTTTCTATATAATATATGTACTTTGTTTTCACATACCTCTCCCTCCTAAATTATGCACATTAATTCAGTGAAACAAGCCTGCATGTAATTACTCCCTCCAAGGGCAAGTAGACATTCCAGATAAACCATAATACCAACACCTAGGGTGCCTTTGTTTTAAAAGCTTGGAACACCTAAGCTGACTTCAGTATCTTGATAATAGAATCTGAAAACTTTATATTATCAGGTACTTGCATGTACATTATGTTTCTATTATCGCTAACACCTTGCAAATGGCGAATACAGATTCTCACAAGGTCTGACAACATTGACAACGCAGTTGTTGAAATGTAACGACGTGGATTGTAGATTTTAATTTTAGCTGTTAGAGTCACAATACTGGTGAAACCCTTCAATTTTGGTGGTGTTTGGATTGAAAACAACTCTTCTGAGAAACCAAAGTAATAAATTATAGGAAATGTCATCAGATGACTTTTCTTTTAGACAGTGTGGGTCGTGGGCCGCGGGTGCCTGATCGCCTGCTTAACACGCGCCAGGCGCCGGGCTGCTTTCAAGGAGCAGGTCGTACCGGGTCGCACTCCGTCGCTTTCAAGGGGGAGATCGGATGGGTCTCGTGGCGTGCTGCTGTGGCGCTGGACCAGCCCCAGCCCCCCGGCGCGCTGACGTAGGGTAAGACGCCGTGACGTCACAGTGTGACGTCGGTGCCTCGGCCGCGCGGCCGGGCCGGGCGGGGGGTGTTCCTCTTCGGCCTCGGGCAGCATGGGAGCCTGAAACCGGACCGGAGAGGAGGAGGAGAGCCGTGTTCCGGGCTCCTTTTGAGCACGTTCGGGGCATTTCACCCTGAAAGCCTCTCGACAGATCTCTGTCAGTCTTGGGAGGGCGCGAACCGGGCCGACCGGGCCTCTCCGGCTCGAGGCGCGCAGAAAGCGCCCGCCAAGCGCAGGGTAGGCAAACCCGGCCGACAGCGCTGCTCGGCGGGCCATTCCCGGACCGCGCGCCCGCCGCCCGCCTGGCTCACGCCGCTCACGCTCTCGGAGCTCCCCGGGCGCAGGTGCGCGCGGCCCTCCCTCCCT